CAGGCCTTCTCAGTGGTGGCCCCTCGTCTGTGTAACTCTATCCTTAGTGAAATTAGAGCAGCCCCCTCCCTCCTGACCTTCAGGAAGAAAGTAAAAACCTGGTTATAGGACCAAGCTTTCAGACAGCAATGTTTTTAGCGCAATAAGAGAATAAGTAATTGTGAATGGATCAATGGAACAACTACAGATTTGATTTTGGATTCTGTGATTTTAAATTGTGTTGTTTAACGGGTGGGTTTTAATATAAATATTATTGTAAGATCTTTATGTTTGAACTTTGTTTATGTTCAAATGTCATTCTGTGTTTTATATTTAATATGGTTAGGTTTTTAATTTATAGTTATATGATAATGTAATATAAATGCTGTATATAAATAAATAAGTCATCTGTTTTGTGAGGAAAATTGAAACTGCAGTTAACAGGCTGTGGGCAGAGTGTTTGGCCACTAGAGGGCGTATGAGAATCGGGGCTGATATATACAGGAGGTTTGAGAGGGAAAACTTTAGAACTGTCTTTTTAGGATTGTGGAAAGAAGGAATAAACCGCCTGTCTCCAGTGTTTATTGTTTTGGGCTTGATTTTAATTATCAAGCCCAAATTATCATAGCCCAAGTTATATGTCTTGTTTATCACATGTATGTACAGCATTGAATTTTGCCATTATTATGTTGGAGGAGAAAAGCTATATATAAATGCAGTAAATAAAATTAAAAATAATAATAATTGAGTGCAGACATCTGCCTTCTTGAAGATCACATTGTCAGGGACACTGGCTGCCATAGGCTGTTTGCGGAGAGCCTGTGTTTGCATCCTCTGAGGGCCCACCTTTCCCCGTGCAGGAATGTGGACCTCCGGGAGTATCTCTCTGAGGAAGTGCAGGCCGTGCACAAGAACACCACATACGACCTCATCGCCAACATCGTGCACGATGGGAAGCCGGCAGAAGGAGCCTACAGGATCCATGTCTTGCACCATGTGAGTCCTTGGGAGGGAGCTGCTTCAGGGCCCTTGTTGCCTGCTGGGATTCAAAGGGACTTCTGTGATGGCTCCTGGCTGTCCAGAACACATTCCCTTGTCCTCCGTTACATCTCCTCTAGCCAAGTCCACCTCTTGAGGCTTCCCAGGGGCCCTCGGCTGCTTCTGGGGCTTAACCTTCACAGTACAGTACACTTTAATCTAGATTGGCATCCTAGTCAGGCTTTTATTTTTCGCTTTAGTTGTGATTTGAACGCAGCTAGTTTTAACTACAGATGGTTAGCATTTTAAACTGTGTTTTTATTTTATGTGTTAATAGTGTTTGTTTATAACTTTTAGGTGATATTGTTTTTTTATACTCCTATACTGCTTATGTTATGTTAAGGGCCCCCTGGTGGCGCAGCGAGTTAAACCACTGAGCTGCTGAATTTGCTGACCGAAAGGTTGGCGGTTCTAATCTGAGGATGGAGTGAGCTCCCGCTGTTAGCCCTAGCTTCTGCCAACCTAGCAGTTCGAAAACGTGCAAATATGAGTAGATTAATAGGTACTGCGTGGCCGCATTTCTGTATACGAACCCACACGATCTCTTCGATCATCTGGAGAGGCCCTGTTCACGCTCCCACCTCCTTCGCAGGCGCGATTGGTAGGGACGAGGAAAAGGGCCTTTTCGGTGGTGGCCCCCAACTCTGGAACTCACTTCCAAAGGACATCAGGCAAGCCCCCACATTGGCAGTCTTTAGGAGGAGCCTGAAAACATGGCTGTTCCAGTGTGCCTTCCCAGAATAAGGAAAATTCTCAGCAATATGCCCCCAGAATGCACTTTAACATTGATTTAGGATTGCCTGCGCGCTCTCACCTTTCTTTGGAAACCCTATCCTAGTTATACCCTACCTTGTTCATGCCCAGCATTATTTTTTAAATTTCGAATTATTACATTTGGCCCGACCATAAGTTTTTAAATGCTTGTATGTTATTGTTTATTGTTTATTTTTTGTTTGAGATTTATTTTAACTGTTTTGTATTGATTCTTTTGTTATTGCCTTTGTTTATTGATGTACTGTGGGCTTGGCCTCATGTAAGCCGCACCGAGTCCCTTGGGGAGATGGTAGCGGGGTATAAATAAATAATAATAATAATAATAATAATAATTACTTCTTCTGCAGGAAGGTAATGGCACTCCATGCAGTCATATTGGCCACATGATCTTGGAGCTGTCGATGGACAATTCTGGCTTTTTGACTTAGTAATAGAGATCAGTACCACCTCCCAAAGTCGGACATGACTGGACTTAATATCAGGGGAAACCTTTACTGTTCATGTTATTTACCACACTTGTAGTGCCAAGTCACTTTTGGGAGATGGTGTCAAGAAATTAATAAAAATAAGAATAAGAATAAGGTAAGGTAAAGGTTTCCCTCTGACATTAAGTCCAGTCATGTCTGACTCTGGGGTGTGGTGCTCATCTCCATTTCTAAGCCGAAGAGCCAGCATTGTCCATAGACACCTCCAAGGTCATGTGGCCGGCATGACTGCATGGAGCGCCGTTACCTTCCCGGAGCGGTACCTATTGATCTACTCACATTTGCATGTTTTCGAACTGCTAGGTTGGCAGAAGCTGGGGCTGACAGCGGAAGCTCACGCCGTCCCCGGATTCGAACCTGCGACCTTTCGGTCAACAAGCTCAGCCCTTTAAGCCACGGTGCCACCGGGGGCTCCATAATAATAATAATAATTATTATTATTATTATCCTTCTATGTCATGCTGTTCTTGCTTTTCTCTTAATGTTGCTTTCCCTCTTTCTTCTGATTCTGAAAGGGCACAGGCAAATGGTATGAACTGCAGGACTTGCAGGTGACGGACATCCTCCCGCAGATGATCACGCTCTCAGAGGCCTACATTCAGGTGAGTGCTGGGGCTGATTGGCAGCCTCTCCAGAGGCTGGTCAGTGAGTTTACCGAGCAGAATCTGCTGGAAGAACCTCTCAAAGCAAGATCTGAGCACTTGGGTTCACTGGGCAGAATCTCCAACTCTTTTTGGCCCATAATATATATGCTTAGGATTTGATGGATTCACTTCAATTGGTGCAGCTTGCGGATATGGACAAGATCCTTGGAGAAGCGAGGGTGACCACATCCATCCTTGTGTGATTTTAAATAACTGTTTTCATTCTTATGTTTTAATGATGTGATTTTATATGTTGTGCAAGGCATCGAATCATGCCTTTGTTGTGAGCTGCCTTGAGTCCCTCCCCCCCCCCCCCCAGGGTGAGAAGGGTGGGATATAAATTAAATAAATAAATTAGGGGGCTCACAATCACGATAGAGGGCATGTCTTGTTTCTGCAGATCTGGAAAAGGCGGGACAACAAGGAAGAGACCAACCAGCAAGGGGCTTAAAGGTGGAACTTTATCCAAAAGGGGACAAGAGGCCCACAGTGGCACCGGTCACCTCTGCATTTTATTGAGGAGCCCAGATACTTCGGATCTCCCTGGGGCTGCTGAGAGGAGTGGATGCTCCTTTAGAAGCTGCTGCTGGCTCTGTGCCTCCTGCCCCTCCCCCATGGGATGAAGGGGGGCTCCTGACAGAGCCCCAGTTGAAGGAAGGACGCAGCAAATGGCGGAGGGGGGGCTTCTGGGGGAGCAGCCAAGCCCCACTTTGAGAACGAGTCCATCTCAGAAACCTCCTGAGGAAGCGAGAGTTGGAGGAGGGAGGAAGGGGCTAGAGGTCTCTTCTCATGTTTCGTTGGCTGCTTCTGCTCACATCTCTGTACATTAAAGTGTGTGTGTGTATGGACTTTGTAATCCCTTCCATTTTCTGGGTGCTTCCCAAACCACACTTGTGACCGGAATTTGTGTTTGTCACTTAGTAGCCCCCAGTGGCACAGCAGGTTAAAGCACTGAGCTGCTGAACTTGCTGACCGAAAGGTCGCAGGTCAAAATCCAGGGAGTGGGTTGAGCTCCCATTGTTAGGCCCAGCTTCTGTCAACCTAGCAGTTCAAAAACAAGCTTATCCCTAAGGTCCAGCTCTCACATCCGTAGGTGACTATGGGGAATACCCATAGATAAATAGATAGATAGATAAATAGACTAGTTGTTGACAGTGTGGTGAGTGAATTAGAACCAGACATCCTGAGGAGTGAGGGTGAATGGGTCTTATGAAGAATTGCTAACAACAAGGCAGCAGGAGATGACGGGATCCCAGCTGAACTCTTTAAAATCTTGGAAGATGCAGACGCAGACTACATTTGATTGCAAATGTGAGTAGATCAATAGGTACCACTCCGGAGGGAAGGCAACAGTGCTCCATGCAGTCATGCCGGCCACATGACCTAGGAGGTGTCTACGGACAATGCCGGCTCTTTGCTTAGAAATGGAGATGGAGATGAAGTGTGAAAAAGACAAAGGCAACTTGATCCACATGTGGTGGAATTGCAGGAAAGTAAAAAAAAGTTATTGGCTGCAAATACACAAAAAGATAGAACAAATCCTAAATGTAAAATTCAACCCAAAACCAGAAACATTGCTATTGGGGATAATAGACTTCAAAATAGAAAAGAACAAGGATAAGATATTTTTCTATCTAATATCAGCTGCAAGGATGATTCTAGCAAAAGTATGGAAAACTAAAGAAATTCCCACAATGGAGCAGTGGATGGCGAAAGTAATGGACATAATAAATATGGACATACTGACACAAAGAATCTCACACAACTACACAAAACCCCAAAGAACTGGCCTGGGAAATATTTCTGGATTTTGTCAGAGAAGAAAACAAAGAGATACATATCAGGAACCTGTAATTGAAATCCAAGGAAAGTGTTAATATGAAGACGACAATGGAAACAAGCAAGGACAAGAAATATGTATGTACATGTAAATGTATATACAGATCTATATAAATAAAAATGTAATGTTCGTTTGTGGGATTAACAGAACTCAAAAACCACTGGAGGAATTGACACCAAATTTGGACACAAGACACCTAACAACCCAATGTATGTCCTTCACTAAAAAAAAAATGATTTTGTCATTTGGGAGTTGTAGTTGCTGGGATTTATAGTTCACCTACAATCAAAGAGCATTCTGAACCCCACCAATGATGGAATTGAACCAAACTTGGCACACAGTTCTCCCATGACCAACAGAAAATACTGGAAGGGTTTGGTGGGCAGTGTCCTTTGGTTTTGGAGTTGTAGTTCACCTACATCCAGAGATCACTGTGGACTCAAACAATGATGGTTCTGGACCAAACTCTACACGAATACTCAGTATGCCCAAATGTGAACACTGGTGGAGTTTGGGGAAAATAGAATCTTGACATTTGGGAGTTGTAGTTGCTGGGATTTATAGTTCACCTACAATCACAGAGCATTATGAACCCCACCAACAATAGAATTGGGCCAAACCTCCCACACAGAACCCCCATGTGGGCCACAGCAACGCGTGGCAGGGTATGGCTAGTAGATATATATATATATGTGTGTGTGTGTTTACAGATAGATATGCGTATATAAAAACAATTAACTAAGACATCCTGGGTGCTCCTGGAAGTAACCTATCGACCCCACCCCCATTACAGCAAATTTTCCCTCCCTATTCACTTTACCCCTCCTCACTCTCCCACTTTATCCTACAAACCTATCGTTCCTACCCTTTTAATGTAAATATCAAGAAAATAATAAAAATACTTTTAAAAAAAGAAAGAAATGGAGATGAGCACCAACCCCCAGAGTTGGACACAACTGGACTTAATGTCAGGGGAAAAACTTTACTTTATCACTTACAGAGCCAGAAAGCTCCAGTAAATTTTGTTTTTATATCATTCTAATTTTCATTACTGTATTAACTACCAAATTACCGTATATACTCGAGTATAAGCCGAGAAAGCCTGCCCTTGTCTTCTAAAGCAAAATCCCAGCCTCAGGAGTGAGTGTGGGGTCCCTGTACAGTCTGGTCTTGGCTGATGTCTCCATGTTTTCTATGACGCACCACATACAAGGCAAAGACTCCGTTTCATGATTTTGGGGAGTGACTTTAATAATGGCCGGTAGTAGAGCCTCTGTCCCTTGGGGTCCTTCCCAGCCCCATTGGTCAGTTGGGAGGAAGGGTCTAAGTAAATGGGGCCAGAGGAGCAGGTCTCCAGCCAAAGGCAGACACATCTTCATCTTTTGACTACAGCCAGACATGAGCCTGGCAGTACTGGACCGCCTGGAAGGAGAAGAGGAGGGAAGAACGAGACAAGTGGTTTAGTCCTTCTTTCCACAATCCTAAAAAGACAGTTCTAAAGTTTTCCCACTCAAATCTCCTGTATATATTGGCTCCAACTCCCATCTGCCCTTAGTGGCCACGCACTGCCCACAGTCTGTTAAATGCAGTTTCAATTTCCCTCACAAAACAGATGACTTATTTACACTACCTTTCCCAACTGTACTCAGTCTCCCTCCCCGCACATCTCTTCTTTATAGCAGAGAACTGAAGCAGCCAGTCCCAGGATGATATGGTGATCCTGACACTGAGTGTTGGGAACCCCTATTACGAATCCTTGTTTGGGACTTACGAAAAAATGCATCCGGAGTGGTTGGTGCAAAAAATGCATTTATGCATTGAATAAGTCTTGAACTGTCAATTGTCTTTGACAACTGAACAAGGCAATGGATGAGATGCATCTGAGGTTCCTCACCTGGCATTGTTTGGCAGCGGCCCAACTGGAACACCAAAACGGAGGGCCTTGAGCGCAGGCTGTGCCCCCTGGGATGGGCTTCTTGGCTGCACAGGCCCCTAGTTCCTGTTGGCAAAAGACAAGGCCTGAGTAGTAAAAGCCCGGGAGCTGCAGAGGGACCTTGGAGGCGGCAGCCCACATTGAGCCATGCCTTCCTACCTGGCAGATGTCATGGGAGCTCCACGGCTTCGGAAGCAACACGAAGAGCTGGGCCTGATGCTGGGAGATGAAGTGCTTGCACTGGGAAAGAGAAGAAAACATCTTACCAGGGACCAAGCATCCAGAATGGGCTCTCCTCCATTTCCCTTAAATGGTGTTTCTGAAATTGGCCATAAGAATATATCCTTTGCTGTGATGGGTACAAAGTACACATAAGCAGAAAGTGGGCTTGGTCCTTCTCACACTTGTAATGGAAGGCAATCCAGTACCTCCTGTTTGGTTTGTCAGATCCATGTGTCCCAAATGCTAGCTGTACAGGTATTTTGGACTTCAGCTCCAGAGGCCAATGATCAGGGA